CAGCCATTCCCATGTGTGGAGAGAAGGGGATTATGGGTTATTATACTGGTAAAATTTTAATGTTTATTCTTTAGCCATTTCAGTCGCACTAGCCTAAAAAGTTTACAAAAATACTGCCATAAATAAATGAAAATAATTAGGAAAACGAGTTGGACCTGATATGATTCAGAGAATATGAAAACAGTATGAATTTGAAGTCAGAGTAAATTGAAAATGACCTCTCATATATTTAATGAATAAGAAAAAATAAGTTGGCTTTTACATGAGAGTTTATGAGAAAAATTTAAAGGTTGTTAAGCTATGTAATATATTCAGAAAAGAATAAATTTAAAATCTATTGTGTAGAGAAAAGAAAAACAGAATTAGTGGAGAATTTCTCTGTAACGATGAAAGGTAGAGGCTGTAGTGTTCTCGTGAGTATAAGAATGTCTGCATGTGGAGTTGTAAAATTTTTTTATTGATAGAATAACTGGAATTTCCACATTACATTTAAAAGTAATGAAAATACAATAAAATATCAAGTAATTTGATTTGTCTAGGATTTTTAAATTTTTAAATAAAGATCGCAACCCCAAACCTCAGCCTCAGATTAAAATTACTAATCTAAAAAAACATTCTTCCCCCTTCTCTTCTTTATAGTGCTCCGCAACTGTCCCACATTTCAGAAAACAAGCAAGAGACTTCAGCAATTCCAAAATGGAATTTTAAAAAGAATTGTTAAAAACACATCATTTGAAAAAAAAATCTGATAAACTTCAAGCCTTTTTAAATCTCCTTAAAGTAACTGAATTTATGAACAGAAGAACAATCAAATTTTAAGATTCTTTATAATATTCAACCAATAGTGAATTTAATATGCTTACATTTCCACCAGCTTCTTAGTGATGGCAAAATATAGATTTAAGTTAGATTTAGAAGAATATTATCAAGACAGAGGTGAGCTTCAACACCCTGATTGGCAATCAAAAAATAAAGTTTAAACAGAAATGAGGAATGCTTATAATTTATTCTTATTTATGCTTATAATTCTTATCCGAGATAAAAAAAAAAAAGAAATTTAAGGGTTGGTAAAGGCAAAATTGGGTATTCAAATGTTACCAAGTTAATAATCCTTAGTCCAAAGCTGTACAAAACAGGAATAAATGCTACAGAATTATCTAAATGAACCTGAAATTCCTCTTTAGAGTCCAAATTTAAACCCTATTTTGTGTTGATCCACAGTTCATAAATGAAAATGTCTTGAAAATTGTTAGAAAATTCCCAATTGATTTAGAAGTTGACCCAAAATGGCTCTATATGGTACTAAAATACAAAGGACTTCGTTCAAGAAATCAATTTAAAACTTGTTTTGACTAAAGTAAATATATAAATTATTACATAAGATGAATATGTATGAAAACTTTTGCTACATTGAAATTCTTATTTTATGCCTAAAATGTTATTTAAAATATATATAATTGATTATTATGCAAATATTTTTAATAAACGTAACATGGAAGTTATTCCTAGACATTTAAATAAAAAAATATGTACTACAGAATTTTTTGTTTTTAACCAATGTTTTTTGTGAAAACTTTTGCTGGCCACTATTGGTAGAAAAGTAGTAGTTTAATTTATAAGTCAGTATTAAAAGGATAATTACAATAACATGAAATCTATTGATTTATCAATTTAGAAAAGCATCGATTCATTAATTAGCAGTTCTACATAATTTTAATTGAGATAAGACTGCCAGAATAGCTTTCATTCTAAAATATAAACTCTTGTGGAAGTGTTTTCAATTTAGTTTTTATGGCTTACAGCCTCATCTTTAAGTGTTCAAGCTAATTTTGTTCTAATTATAAAAATAATAGTTATAATAATTAGTATTAAAGCCATAATATACTCCAATTAATTTATCAATTTCAATAAATATTTAATTTATTAGTATTTCTATAATTGAGCCAAAACTTGAGGAATACATTTGCATCTAACACTTTAAATAGGAATATAGTTTAATTTATGTTAAGTATAGGTATATATCTATAATTATCTTGCTTTGTTGAATGCTACATAATAACATACCTTGTCTGGAGTTGTATCAGGATGAACATTAGAATATATCTACCACTTCTTTCAATGAATCTACCACTGAAAAGTAAGCAATCTTTGAGTTTAATCAAATTAACCTTTTACGAAACATAAGTGTACCAAAGAGAATTAGTTTGCACATTCTTAAGCGAAAAAAGGGTAGGTAATTTGACAAAATTGATATGAATCATTTGTTCACTGATCATTTAGTTTCCTCCAACTTAGAGCTTAATGGAACAAGACATTTTTTTATATATAGGTTTATCATAATACGGTTTTTGAATCTAAGTACCAAAATACAATTCCTAATAATTTCTGGAAATTGTTTTAATGATTGGTATAATTCCCAACACGCGAATTAAAGTACTGATAGTAACGGCCTTTAACATTTGGCGCCTCCCAATAATGACGTCATCTCGCCAATATTTAGCCCGAAAGCCCTGGTAAAATGGTTCAAAATGGTAAAATATAACCATGTTTAAAGAAAAAAAAATTATCTCTAAAAGTATTATTGTTCGTCTAATTTCATTTAATAGGACTTAAAGAATCATTTAAACACAATTTCATATAGGTAGTTAGTTTCTTTCTTTCTTCCGAAGTTATTATCCTAATATATACATACAAAAAAATCTTTCGGGCTGAAGCCCCCCCAAAATTAAATCCTGGATCCGTTAGTGTCTCCCACCCCTATTCTCAGCCACGGGCGGATCTAAGGGGGGAGGGGAGGAGAGGGCGGCTTTCGGGCTGGAGCCCCCCCAAACTGGTAAAATATAACCATGTTTTATGAAAAAATATTATAAAAAATTATCTCTTAAAGTATTATTGTTCGTGTAATTTTATTTAAAAGGAATTAGGAATCACTTAAACACCATTTAATATAGATAGTTTCTTTCTTTTTTCCAAAGTAATTATTGTCATTTTTATGAAAAAAAAGCTTTCGGGCTGAAGCCCCCCCAAAATTAAATCCTGGATCCGCTAGTGTTCTCAGCCAATTGCCCGTCCCTGGGTACCACAGGCGGATCTACGGGGGAGGGGGGCTTTCGGGCTGAAGCCCCCCCCCCCCCCCCAAAATGGTAAAATATAATCAGGTTTTACAGAAAAAAATATTAAAAACTATCTCTTAAAGTATTCTTGTTGGTGTAATTATATTTTTTAAGACTTAAGGAATCACTTAAACACCATTTAATATAGATAGTTTCTTTCTTTTTTCTTTCTTTAATTATCGTCATTTTTATAGAAAAAAAAGCTTTCGGGCTGAAGCTCCCTCCAAAAAAATAAATCCTGGATTCGCTAGTGTTCTCAGCCAATTGCCAGTCCCTGGGTATCACAGGCGGATCTACGGGGGGGACTACATTAGGAGATCACGGGGCCAAAAAAAAAAAAATATTTAAAACTATTTCTTAAAGTATTCTTTTTCGTTTAATTACATTTAATAGGACTTAAAGAACCACTTAAACAGCATTTCATATAAGCAGTTTATTTCTTTGTTTTTTTTTTTCAAATTAATTATGATTATATGTATATGAAAAAAAATCTTTCGAGCTGAAGCCCCCCTCCCAAAAAAAAATTAAATCCTGAATCCGCTAGTGATTTTTAGAGATAATTTTTTTCATAAAACATGGCTATATTTTACCATTTTGGGGGGGCTTCAGCCCGAAAGCCCTCCCTCCTCCCGCAGATCCGCCTGTGAAATAAACAATACAGTATAAATTAACTTTTTGAATGAAACCTAAAATACTATACTAATAAAAAAAGTGTATTAACCTAACCTCTATTCCTTGTGATCAATGCCTTCAACATTTCACAGCCATTATATTATTAATAGTTATTTATATTAATCTTAATTATTAAATGGCATTGGTACTAAACAATGTCTGAACTATTCTCTAAATTTCCTCTAAGTTTGGGTCAAATTGAACGAGCCGTTTTCAAACTATAGCCGTGTCAAATAACACATTTACTGATCCAAAACCGGAAGTCTGTTTATTGAGAGTAGTGGATAGAATTTGATACTGATTATTATTACCAATTATCTGTTAACCAATCCCTAACATCGCTCAAAATTTGAGCCAAATCGAACTAACCGTTAAAAATGTATTAAAATATTATAATAATAAAAGGCTTTGCGAACCCGAAGGTTCGATGCCGACACCACCAATCGTTTATTACACAACTTCCTCCACCGTTCGCTGTCCAAACCCAGTCCCTTCAGATCGGCTTTAATGCAATCTTCCCATCTTCGCTTCGGTCTACCCCTCACTTAAATATTCAATAGGTTAAATATTCAGATATACTTTCAAAACTCTCTAAGCACATATGAACCTTTCGGTTGACAGAATGACTAACCCCTATTTCAACATTCTTTATTATTAATTTTAGTTATGTTTCTAGTGGCAAAATTTATACCTTTATTCACAGTTCTATATTTCAACACTGCAATCATCTACTCTGTAATCAACTTACTCACTCTCTGTACAGATTTAACTTTTCCAACTAGAAATATCACTAAAATGAAATTATTCAAAAATGTTGAATAATCTCAGTTAATCGGTTAGTTAATCTGTCAAATGAAAGGCTCAGAGATTGGAGTGTGGTTTATAAAAGCAGATGGAATAACTGATTTTTATTGCCTAACGTCGATATAATTAATAGTATTTTTGTTATTTTAATGGTATTTATGATTTGTTGGCTTTAAGATTTATCTCCGTTTATAATGCAATTAAAAATTTTTATAATAGCCCAACATTGCCAGAAAATAATTTCTATTCAAGCTAGAGCGGTAAATGAAAGTTGTGTGTTGCGCGCATCAGATTATTAATCATAATCATTAGCAGTTCTAATACACTTGTAAATAAAGATTGTCCCCCTTTTCTTCTCGTATTTCCTGTTCTCTTTGTCATTATCTTCTTATCTCTTTGTCTGTGTTTGGTCCACTACGCTACATCCTGGTTATTTGATCTATAATCAATCTTGTTTATTAATAGAATACTTTAACAATTCTTTTTAAGCAATAATAGTATAAATAATCATTAATATAGCTATAAATAATCATTTTAACTATAATTATAGCGCAAATTTTTTAGTCATTGGTTACATATGGTATGTATACCTAGATCTGTTATTTTAAGACCATTTTAATAGATATCTTATAATACAGTTTCATTCAACTGAACTTATAGCCTTTGTATGACATAATCTTATCAGCTACTGGGTCATTCTGCTTCTAATAAAATCTTATCTGCCCATTGGCAGCTTCCTTTCTATTGATTTATGTTTGAAATGATAAGTATTCACACCATTGCATTTTAGAAGGAGGTTTCTTAATTTTAACTTTATGATTACCATGGATGACAGTAGCATGAGCCTTTTAAGGGTGTCCATTTTTCTCCTGTTCTCAAAATGTGTTCTCAGTGAACCCTTTAAGATATACACCAATGATGTAGAAGACTTGAGAGCCTCTTCTTTTCCTAAACGTTTTATTTTTGGTACTGGCAGTTCTGCTTATCAAGTCGAGGGAGCATGGAATGAAGGAGGTAAGTTGAAGAGATTGTTATATTATAATAATCATACGCCTTGTTATTTGTATAAATGGTATAATGATCGTTAAGGCTCTCATTTTAAATTTAAATACAGATATTGAAATTCTTCATTATTATTATTGAAAAATTTTAAGTTCCAAGCTAATATATGTATATATATTTATACATACAATATTATCTTATAAGTGACATTTTGTTTACATGTATTCACTATCTTTGACATATAAGTAAATGAAAGCATATATATAACATAAATAAAAAAATAGTAAAAATAAATAATTATATTTATTTTTATATTTGAAGACGTTTCGACCCAATGTTCAGGCCTTCACCAGGGCTATGAAAATAACCAGATAACAATAGGTATGAGAAACTATAAACATTGAATAATAAAGAATTAAAATTAAAAAGGTGAAAGGTATAGACCAAAAACTTAAAAAAAAAAGTAAAATAATGTAGATAGAGTGAACATTAAAGTAAAATAAAGTAAGTAGAATAATAGCAATAACAGAGAACTAAGAAATAAATAGTAATAATGGTAACAAAGTCGGACTATTGAAATAAACATAATCAAAATAAGGTAACATAAGAAATTAAAAATGGTAATCTTAGAATAATCTTTTTCTCTGTATTACATTTTATTCTGCATCCTGTACTTTGTTACTGTTATTATTATTTATTTCTTAGTTCTCTGTTATTGTTATTATTCTACTTACTTTATTTTACTTTAATGTTTACTCTATCTACTTCATTTTACTATTTCCTTACTTTAACTTTTACTTACTTTTTCTATTTTACTTAAGTTTTTTCCGCCTACATTTTCTGGTCTATACCTTTCACCTTTTTATTTTAATTCTTTATTGTTCAATGTTTATAGTTTCTCATACTTATTGTTATCTGGTTCTTTTCTTAGCTCTGATGAAGGCCTGACCTTCGAGCCGAAACATCGGCAAATATAACTATTTATTGTTACCATTTTTTATTTTGACTGATCACCCCAACCATCCTTCTCTTCAATTATTCACTACAGTCAACCATCAACCCAAAATTATATATATATATATATATATATCCCAGGTTCGAGTCCAGCTGATGACTAGTAATTTTTCATCAGCAGTGGGTCGACCCTGGGACTGGGAGACCCACCTGGGGCAAACCCAGCCTCTATAAAGTGAGTACCCTTATTTAAATAATTAATTAAGGAGGAAAACCGTGCGGTTGAGCGTGATATTGGCCCATTACCTCTCTGCACAACCATTGCCCTTGTAACAGTACTTCCTCACTGTACTGAACCAAAGACCCCACATTGGTTGTTAGTGGTACAGGTTTTTTTTATATAACATAAACATTATCTATTTTATCTTACTGTGGTTTAAGGTAAAGGAGAAAGCATCTGGGATAGAATAATACACACTACACCAAGTTATATTCAGGATAATAGTAGTGCTGATGTGGCCTGCGACAGCTATCATAGGTACAAAGAAGATATCAAACTTATAAAAAAGACTGGTGTAAGATTAATTATTTAGTTTTAATTAATATGAAATTTGTATCTATATTTTGTATTAATTGATTCATCTTTTCACTTCTAATAGTTCTCCATGTATAGAATTTCTATCTCATGGCCACGTGTTCTGCCAAATGGAACAAATGATTATATAAATTCAGAAGGTTTGCAGCATTACAGAAATGTGCTTAATGAACTAGCAAGATACAATATAGAACCAATGGTATGATTCACATGATTCGGTTATGTTAGGTGTTAGTAAAACTGAATGTGGACTAATGCTTGTGTTTTCTACTCTGATTATTTTTTATAGGTTTGATGTAATTATTGAAATATAATTATTCAACTTCTTTATTATTGTTATTATTATTATTTAAATCGTTACAAACTAGTGTACCATGCCTGCCTTGAGAACTTTGGTATTATCGAGACAGGTAAAATGGTAGGAAGTTTTTATAATTATAAGCGTAGAAAACACAAATTTAAAATTTTTGTTTTTTTATGTATTTAAATATTGATATTGTAATGCAATCAATAAACTCCTTAACTCTCAGGTTACCTTGTACCATTGGGACCTTCCTCAGGCACTCCAAGACATGGGAGGGTGGATGAACGAAACCATAGTTGAACACTTTCAAAACTATGCTCGAGTGATTTTTGAAACTTTGGGAAATCAGGTGATAATTAGCTACCAATTTATGTTTACAAAATTATAATTATTAGTGTAAAATATTTTTGATATCCAGGTGAAATGGTGGGGAACAATCAATGAGCCTAAACAAATTGCCCGTGGATATTCAAGTCATAATTACGCACCTAGTCTTGGTCTTAACGGTGTTGGGGATTACATAGCTGGTCATAATATCTTAAAAGCTCATGCTAAAGTTTATAGAATGTATGAAAAGGAATTTAAACCAACTCAAAAAGGTAAAAACAGTCTAATATATATCTAATTTTAATTTCAAAATCATGGTTAATTTTGATTTTTTGACAGGTAAGATCAGCTTAGGACTTTCCGGCAATTTTCTCCTTCCTAAAACAGACTCGGAGGAAGATGCAAGAGCTGCTGAGCAAGGAATGCAGTTCTCTGTAAATATGACTAATATTATTATTTTTTATTTCTTTGAGGGAGGAAAAAACCTTTTTTCATTTTTTAAGGACTACTTGTCAAGCATCCTCCTACTTCTAGATCCTTGCTTTGATTTGTTTTGTTAGTTTCTTTTGGTTTTCGATTTTGATTTCAAACATTTTAGGCAAAATTTAAAATTGGGTCCTCTCAACATCTTATAACAGTGAATGAGCAACTTGATAAAAAATTTGAGAAATCCTAAGTAAGACCATTTCCCAAGTGGACTGTCGCCACTCCCTATGTTGTATTTTTAGGTATTTGTCTAGCGGGCCGCCACGAAACCTCACTTCTTATCTATCTTATCTAATGTCAGGTCACATAACCTCCCTCTTCTTATCCCGCCAAACCTTTGAGTTATTGCATTGTTTAGTTTTCAGTTGTTCCCTTATTACGTTCACTTATTAAATTCTTTACTTTTGGCCCCTTCCAAAATCAATAACACAAAATGAAAATAAATTGTATATATGTTGTTTATAGTGTTGATATTTTTTCTTTTCTATGTACATATCTTCTTAAAGTGCTTTTTTTATTATTTCATTAAAATGCGTGTCGTAAAATAAAAGTATTTTTTTTGTTATCACATTTGTTTTTGTATCTGTTTACACTTTCAATAATATGAATTTAATACAATAATACAAAGATATGAAGTAGGAGAAGGCTTATCAATGCATTATGGGAATTATCAGTGTTCAGGTCATAAACATTGGCAGATGGCAGTCAGTGCCGGCCTGCTAGACGAAAAGTACCTATTTTTATTAGTCCAAACTAATTTATTGAAGACAAAATCTTCATATTGTTTATTATAAACATTACGGTATAAAACGTTATACATTATACTTTTCTAATCTCCAGTTTTTCAAGAAAATCCATTCTTTTACTTTTGGTTGTGCCATGTAAAAGTTTTACCTTATTGTTTTTATTACAGAACCCACAATTTATGAAATGATACAGATTCAGGAACTCCAGATTTGTGTAAGTCGCTAAATTTACTTGTTTAGGCTTAATGATAATTCAAGACAACAGTGCTGAAGCGAAAATCAAAAGGAAAATACTTTCTGCTTACCAGTGCTACTACAGTCTGAGAAAACAGCTTGGCGGCCACATGTCCTGTTCAATTTGGCATTAGAACATGCCATTAGGGAAGTAATGCGAACCGAGAAAGGGTTGGATCTGGGCGGGACAACATCCGTGCTGGGCTATGCTGATGATCTGGTACTGTTAAGCGAAGACGTTGAAACTATAAAACTAAATACGACAACGTTAATGAAAGCCGGTAAAGAACTAGGACTCGAAATAAACGTGGATAAAACAAAATATATGGTTAGCTGCAAAAATGGCGATACTACTGGTGATATCGATATAGATGGTAATATGTTTGAACAGGTAGATAAATTTAGGTATCTAGGTTCTACGATAACTAGAAAAAACGAAATTGAAGAAGAGATTAAGGTTAGACTGAAGGCGGGGAATGCTTGTTATTTTTCTGTGACAAAACTACTTAGTTCGCGCCTCTTGTCCCGAAACTTAAAAATTAGAATCTATAAAACAATTATCTTGCCTACAGTTCTTTATGGATGCGAAACTTGGCCGCTTACATTAAGGGATGAGCAGCGTCTTAAGGTTTTTGAAAATAAAGTATTGCGTAGAATATTTGGACCGAAGAAGGATGAGTTAACCGGAGAGTTCAGACGGTTACACAACGCCGAATTGCGTGAGCTGTATCCGGGTAATATAATTGAGGTAATTTCATCGCGGAGAATCAAATGGGCTTGTAAAGTTGTTAGGCTTAGTAACGAGAGAATTCCTAAAAGGTTAATATTTGCTGTGCCGAATGGTAAACGTCCGAGGGGAAGACCGAAGCGAAGGTGGGAAGATTGCATTAAAGCCGATCTGAAGGGACTGGGTTTGGACGGCGAACGGTGGAGGGAGGTGTGTAACAAGCGATTGGTGGTGTCGGCATCGAACCTTCGGGTTCGCTAAGCCTTATTATTATTATTATTATTATGTAAAAACCATAATCCGTCCAGTGATAATATACGGCTCAGAAACTTGGACATGACCCAACATAATGGTCAAATTCTCTCAGGCATGAGTGAAAATCCTTCAGAGGATATTTGGTGGAGTTTTATGGTTTATTTAAAGCAGCTAATCCAATTCATTTGGTTAAACCGATTGTGGTGGGGAGACGTGTGGAGAAGAGCTGCCCAGGAACCTTTTGATGGAGCCTCTCAATGGAAGAAGAAGACTGAAAATAGATGGGTAGACGAAGTTGCTGCTAATGCTCGGAATGTCTTTAGATTGCACAGCTGGATGGGATATGTATGGATTGCTAGGCCAAAATAATAATAATAATTTATATCATACCACCTGATCATCTCATTTCAGCTAGAACATGTTGGAAACACTTAGATTCCTATCCATACTGCCTTACTTATAATAAAAATCCAATAAACGACAAATAATACATTTTAAATAAATAAATATTGCTATGTTTCTTAACATTACCCATTAGGATGCCACTGAATAATTATCCAGATATATTAATATAAAATAACTAGGAGATATTTAAATATATAATATACTAATTTGTCCAGGATTTACTGGATTACTTTTCCTAAGGTTGGTTTTTGGTTTATTATTTTCAATAATGAACCATTGTAATCATCCTAAACGTTAATAAAAAATGTAACCCCTTCTCAAAATTTGAGGTTTTACGTTTCACGATATCTAGAACTGGAAAAAATTTTCCGTAAATTAAGTCTGCGGCTTTTCTTCGAAATCAAAGTCAGAGGTCACCCGAGGATGATCCTCCTACCTTGACATTACTATCCGCCCTTTTCTTCCAAAATGGTAGCAGAAAAACATATGTTGGTATAGACTGTAGCGCCTAAAGGAATGAAACTTGGTCCAAGTCTTCTCCTCAAAGCTCTTTAAATTTATCTATATAACGTACTTCAACAAAAAGAAGCTGGAAAAAAGTTATGACGGTGGTAAAATTATATTTTTGAATAACTCAAGAAATATACACTTTTTTGTTGATGTATTGTGGTTTTTAAAAGTTTATGAAATGTACTAAAAAATAAAAAAAATACAATTTTTGAAATCGGACAATTTGGTAGAAAGATACGCTGTTCTAAATATTTTTTATGTTCTACTGCAAAGCTTATATCTTTTGTATTGGTTTTTGAAAGTTTCACATCAACTGCAGCAATGTTGTCTATTTTTATAATTGTCAATGATAGAAAAGAAAATTATTTAGGCTAATGTTAGGAATCCGTTTTTATCTATTTTCCTTAATGTTACATGGAAAGCAATGGTAATTTTGATATTAAATTGTTCGGAAATAATAAACCATTGTGTAATAATTTGCAGAAATTTTTTTTTATCAGTTTTCTAATCACAAACATAACCTGAATTAATTGTGGCATACATGGGTACCAAAAATTAACAAGAACCTTATTAAAAAACTTAATTTATTCATATAACATATACTCAATATTAATAATAAAATGGGGTAACATGTTTATAAAAAATTAAGATACAAATTTAGGTTAAGGTAATACTCTAAATAAATGTATGAATCAGTTGAAATTATTTGTGAAAATTGTCACAAAACATTTTAACATTAATCTGCTATTGTTTTAAAAAATATTGTATATGAGATTGTAAATCTGACGTGAGCTGGGGTTGTACATCTGTGAGAGCCCAGCCCACACTTTTGGTTGCCTCTGTCAAACTCTTTCCCCACGGAAGTTAACTTATTTAATTCAGCTTCTTGGAACGACGATCTGCAAGTGTGGTATCGTTTCACCAGGTTGGGGACTAATCCACTTTGCACTATCTGTGTGAACTGTCAATCCAGTACGAGATGTGGGTCATGTCATCAATAGAGGCATTTATTTCTGATTTCTGGCAAGTTGACCCTTTTCCTAACCCCGTCCTTCTATATCTTTATTATATTAAATTTTAAACTTATTTGGTCTAATGTCTGATACATAGCAATATTTGCAGTTAGGGTGGTTTGGCCACCCAGTATACAGCAGTACCGGAGACTATCCTCCAGTCATGAGAGATATCATAGATCGCAATAGTCTCAGAGAGGGACGAAACCAATCAAGGTTGCCTTATTTCACTCTAGAAGAGATTGAGGAAATCAAAGGTAAGTTGTTCTATATTATTATAATTCAACTTCTAAGACAGCATTTCTATCTATCATCTTAAGGTGTTATATCTTATAAGATTGCTCGGGAGAGCCAACCTAGATGGAGGTTCCACCACTTAGGAATAAAAAAAAATTACTAAGTGTACAAGAATAATTAATTAACTTTTCTGTAAGCTCTTTTAATTATATTTATCCATTTGTTTCTAATTCTTACATATTAGAACAGCCACCCTATCTTCCAATCCAGATCCTAAAACAACATCCTTAAACCTACAAAGTCACCTTTCTCATATTGAACACCAGGCGCATCCATGTAAATGAATCCAAATCCAAACAAATCACTTTTACCCTTCAGCGCAAGTCCTGTCCACCAGTCTATTTCAAATCCACACCACTTCCTCTCTCCGACACAGTCCAGTATCTTGGCTTTCTTCTAGATAAAAGACTAACGTGGAACCCACATACCAGACTTAAAACACAACTTAACAGACCATACGGACAGCTATATAGACTAATGAATAAAAAATCTCAACTTTCTGTCGACAACAAACTACTAATATACAAGACAATCCTGAAACCATTCTGGACCTACGGACTAGAGCTGTGGGAGTCAACAAAACCTTCTAATATTAAGTGTATTGAATCCTTTCAGTCTAAAGTCCTCCGAACAATTGTCGATGCTTCCTTCTATGTAACCAATAAAACACTCCGTAATGACCTTCATATTCCATTTGTTATTGACCTAATCCCAGACAAATTTTCCAAATTTCACCAGAACCTCACTCATCATCCAAATCCTGTAGCACAATCCCTATCTAGCTCCAGCCATCCCTACAATCCTCCCCAGAGGTTAAAACGGCAGTGGCCCCGCGACCTTTTGTAAATATGTATATATTGGAGTTCTGGCAATGGCCAGATTCTCCATTCAATTCCTGAGTGTCTGTTGCTCTAGTGCCCTCCATCAGTCTCCACTGGCTTGTAATGATGCGGCTGGGAAAGAAGGGAATGTAAATATTGTATATAGGTGTGAATGTGTTTTATATATTTCAATTTCATTTAGTTTCTCTCTAAATCTTTTTTTTTTTTTTTTTTTTTTTTACCTATGTATGTTAATTTTCTTATTTTACTTTCTACAACTCTTTTTCTTTTATCTCTATGTTAGTTATCATTTGTATGTATATCATGTATATATTGTGTGAATATTTAATGTAGCCCTAATATTAATGCCCTTCAATGCGGCAGAATGTCTTAATTTTCAAATAAAAAAAACATACTAGTAAGTTATGTTCTGTCTCTATAAAATTTAAAAACAGATTTTAAATAATGTTAATTAATCATTGTTTATGCAGGCAGTTATGACTATTTTAGCTGTAATCACTACACAACATTTTTGGGCACATTTGGTGAGAGTGGTCTAGACCCTTCGAATGAAAGAGACAGAAACGTCTTGTTGGACGTTAACCCTAAATGGCCTGCATCCAATTGTACTTGGTTGAAGGTGAGTAGATTGCTTATTGTATTATTTTATACTTATTGTTTGAAATGTTTACTGTTGTATGAAAGCTTAGTTTGAAAGTGTATAACAGATAAATAATTGATTTTGAGAAAAATAGCTCTTAGATTTGTTTCATTTTAAAATTTCCAATGTGAAAATTTCTGGTTCACCACCTAAAAGTTTCAGCTCAAAATTCCTTTTGATTTTTCATACACTACTCTTGCAATTAGGGCCAAAGATCTTACAGTCGCTATACTTCAGGACTTGTTCATTCTTGGAGATCAGAGTCCATATACGACCACAGGACATATTGTAGTTTTTTAAACTATGAGTTCCATTCAGCATCTTTTCCCAGCAGTTTTACATGATTTTATTTTAGCTGTCATGTCATTTTCTTCCATTATCTTCTTCTTCTTTTTCTTCTTCCTCAGTGCCTCTCAAAGTGGAGGTGCCAAGCTTACCATCTGTCCCGGTCCCTTTCCAATACACTCATGGAATCCAACAGCTTTCCTCTTTTCTCTCCTAATCTAGCCACATTATCCAGCCATGACATCCTTGGCCTGCCTCTTGGTCTTTTACCAGTTGGTCTAGCTTCGAAGAATTTGTGTGGTCCACGGTCTTCATCCATTCGACATATATTTCCGAACCACTTCAACTGCCTCTTCTCAAGAATTTCAGTCAGTGGTTTCACCCCTAGCTCCTCTCTTATTTTGTTATTCCTAAACTGTTACTGCTACTTTTATGAGGTATTTCATTTCTGAGGAGATGGATCTGTTCCTCGAGGACCCAGCTCTCATTTCCATATAGTAGGGTGGGAAGGTATTTACTTGTATTTATAATCATGTCTTTTCTCTTGGCTCTGCTTCCTCTTTCACTACAGCTAGCTGAAGATTCTGAACGGAATCCGTTATGAAAACAATATCATCGGCATAGAGAAATGTCTGAGCAAGAACTGTTCTCAAGTTCCATTTCTCTACTACTGTTTCTGTCGTCCTTCTTTTACATATTTTCAATACCATGTCCATCAGAACAACAAAGAGAAGAGGGCTCAGACTATCACCCTGTTTGACACCTCTCTTCATATCAAAGCTCCTAGACTCCTTTCCATTCATCCTGACTTTACCCTTTGAGTCCTTAAACAAGGATTTTATGGCTTCTATAAGTTCTAAAGGAAAGTTCTTTGTCATCAATGCATTCTATATTTTGACTCTTCAGACTGAATCAAAAGCGGCCTGCAGATCTAAAAAAGCTGAATACACATTTTTATCTCTTTTCTATGATGGTCCTCAGTGAAAATATTTGGTCCTGGGTCTGTCGGCATAGAGAAATGGGTCTGAATGCGGCTTGCTCTTCTTCAAGGCCCTTTTCTACTACACCTCTGAGTCTCCTCTCCAGAAGTTACATATATATAACTAATGGAACACCTGGAACAAGCATATTGGTCTATAGTTATTACAATCGCTTTGGCTTCCCATTTTATGTATTGGGATAATGACATTATATTCCCAGTCTTTAGGGATGTTGCACTATTTTTCACATTCCTTATGGGTTTACACTATTTGCCTTTCAGGGTTTTTATCTTTTTCCAGAAGATCCTTAAATTTTCATTATAGTCGGTTTGTAGGCTTTTTCCGAATTTTTCCCAGCTCTTCCTTTTAGCCTCTTATACAACTAATTTTGCTTCTTTCCTCCGTCGGATGTACAGTTCCCAGGTTTGATCGTTTTTATTGTTTAAATAACTCTTTCATGCAATTTTCTTCCTTTGTATAACTCTCTTCACCCTTTCACTCCACCATTCTGATCTTTTCACCTGGGAGGAATATTTCTTTATGCTACATACCATTGTTACGACTTTCAGGATCTTATCTTTGATGTTTTTCCACATTTCATCTACTGGTGCATCAAGGTTAATTTTCCGCAGTTCTGCTGCATACCTTTCTTGAAATTGTCGATTCTGGAGCTGTAAAATATCAATACTTGAATATTGTCTTTTTGTTATTTTCCATGGCTTCAAAATTTGTGTAGCAGCTATGAGCATTCTGTTATCATAACGCCAAAATACTTAAACTCCTGACAGATTGGAAATTATAGTTCCTGATTCTAAAGATCAACTGGGATAGCGATGGTTTTAATGATGTTTTATGTGCATGTTCTTCTTTTTATTGATTTGCAGGTATTTTGTTTTGGCCATATGATCAAATTCCTCTCACGTACCAGAAGGTGTTCTGGCATTTATGATTCCCATAGTTTCAGCAAAGTGCTGGGTAAACCAATTGTAGATTGATCCTTCCAGATTAATTCTCTGTGATTTTTCATTGTAATGTCCAGTATGAAATTGAAAAACATTATTGCAATCGGACCACTTTGGCATACACCAGCGTTAACAGATAAATACCCTGCCAGAGGATCCTTGCAACTTAACTCTGCTGATTGGGCTTTTCATTGTCATCATAACCCCTTTTGGGATGCCAAACCTCTCCAGGTCATCATGCAGATAGTCTGTGATAATGCTGCCATGAATCTTAGCAGAAGTCAAGTAAGAGGAGGCGGATGTCCACATTGCCTTAATGTGCTCCTCCAGAGTCTGTAAAGATGTGGTCTATTATGGAGCAGTTGTAGTGGAATCCTTAGGAAACCTGTATTTGCCTAGTTCCTATTTCATGAACTGCTTCTGGTTCAGTAAACAGGTAATAAATTTAAAACGTCTCAGAAGGACAATGCTTCAATAATTTGAACATTCCATTTTTTCTTCTTTTCTGGGCATTGGATAAATCTCCATTACACACTCCATTTATCTGGTATTTCTTCGGTATTCCTCATCCTCATTATAAAAAAAAAAGATTTCACTCCTTGCATCAGGAGTTCCCAACCTTTTTCAGCTGTGGGTACATTCATAGGTTATATCTTGAATGGCGGGCATCATGTTTATGTTCTTTGTAAATTGCAAGTAGGTTACTGTTTATACATTTAAAAAGGAAATGGAATTAGTATCAATAAAAAAAAAAAAAATACATATATACTTATAGTAGCAGTAATCTTTATCATTTTTAAAACTTTTTTTTTTTTCCTTTGCCATAGTCATTGGTCATTCGACCATCCGACATCTTGCTGCCCAATATAAGTTAGATTTTTGTATGTAATCATTTACATATGTTCGATTCTTTATATCCGTCAAAGCAGGACATTCGTTTAGGTGGTCTGCATCCATTTCCGCTTGTTCACATAATTTACATCTAGGATCCTCAGCCACGCCTATCTTGTGGAGATGACTTTGTTGATAGTCGTGACCAGTGGCCAGGCGGAAGCATGCTACTGCATCTCTTCTTGGTAGGTTTGCTGGGATCAGGTTTTTGATCAAACATCCATGGCGTCTCCCTTCCACCTTGTCTTTGTGTGTATTTTTTGTTTCCTCCTTCACTACCATCCTCACCATTCGCCGAATTGAATCGTATATTTGATAAGTTAGACAAGGATGTCATTGACTCCTGGAGATTTATTATTTTTCTGTCACTTAATAATTTTTTTCCCTGTTGGTTGTTCAATTGACTTAGCGCTCAGTATATCTGTCAGGTCCATACTTTTTCTCTACACATTAATGATGCACTGATTCAGTACGTCCCAGAAATAGTCTGTCGATCTTTTAATTTCAGGATCTGTTATTAGGTTCTCAGTAATGCTCCAGTTCCAGAATCTTTGCGATTGTTCATTTTTTCTAGTAAGATTGAATCATGCACCTAGTTTTCCTACTTAATTTCTTCAGTCTGGCTTCATCCTCTTCATAGAGGGTCTGATCAAACTGATCAAACATCAAACGAGTGTTTCTTTGATTTCTTCTCTTGTATACAAAGGACTTCTTCTGCTGCTGTCATCTGTGTTATGGGATAGTTAAATGTTGTATTTTTTTCTAGGCAGAGTGAACAATTTTTAAAAATAAATAAATAAAATTAAACACTTTCCTTTGCTAACAAGTGAATGTAATATTCCTTTATCACCATACACAACTTATTATTTTACTTAATAAATATGAATCATATATATCTATTACTTTTTATCTCTGTTTTTTCCTTTTCTTTACTATTTATTACTATTTAATTTAAAAGCCTATTATATTTTGTTTATCTATTTTTTTTATTTCATTTATTATCAACTGATCAAAATTGGAAAGCAACTTATATGTATATGTGTGTGTATATATATATATATATATATATATATATATATATATATATATATTTTATTTTTTTTAACCAAGACTGTTCAATTACTCTGTATTTTTATTTATGTATCTCTGAGGCTCCTTAGCCCTCATTTCTGTCTTCCTGTATTATTCTAAAGGGACTCGTCCCAGAATAAATAAAGTATTATTATTATATAAATTCAAAATGTAGAAAATAAATTTTTTTTATATTTGAAAATTCCTCTTTTCACTATTTAGGTATATCCAGAGGGGTTTAGAAAAATGATAAGCTGGATTAAAGCTCATTATGGAGAACATATACCAATTGCTATAACAGAAAATGGATACTGTGATGATGAAAGATTAAACGATTTTGGAAGAGTGTCTTATTATGATGTAATATTTTTAAATATCTTTTAAATAACCACTATTCTGATTACAACTATTTTATATAAATATTGTGTTTTAAACAGAGCTACTTAAAGGAGTTATTAAAAGCGATCGTAGAAGACGGTGCTAACGTGGTAGCCTACCTGGCATGGAGTTTTCTTGACAACTTCGAATGGAGGGGAGGATATATGTAAGCGATTTAAAAAGTATATATATTTATTTTATGAATATACAAATTTCATTTTGATGCCCATAACATCAAAGGTCTGTTTTGTAAATAACCTACTAAAAGTTAATTGTTAAATAATATGTATTTTGGCGGGCATAGGCGAATAGTCGTCCGCTTTTATCGGGGAACTAGGTTATTTATACTCGTGATTATCAAAACAAATCCCCGGCACTGGATATAGACTTTTTGAGGGTGTTTAACTGTTGTTGGGAATTCAGGAATCTAATACCTTTTGTGAAAATGAGTGAGAAGAAACAATAAGAACATGCATATATAATGTGGGACTGAGTAAATACATTTTAAATGAATTGACTCACCTGGTTCGTTATTCTTCAATCGTGAGGCATATAAGACAACTAAATAAATAAATGACTTTTCACTCCTGTATAACAAAATGATTTATTTCTACAACTGTAATAAATTGACTCTATTAAAGTGTTATAACTATAGACTTGATCTTCTAAATCTTGTAGTAGCCTCTCTTCCTAGGTATGTGTTCCGCCTCAGTGTCCAGCCTCAAGTGCCTGGCGTCGTCTTCCAGCTGCTGCTACCTGACCGGACCTTTTTCCTTCTTTATCGATATGAGATTTTCCAATGAACAATTTGTCCGCTGCACAATTGAGGACAATTCACAGTGCAACCTCACATTCCTATATATTATATATTCCTTCTCATTCCCTCACCCAATGTCACATAAAGGAATAAATAAGGGGGAATGTCTACTACAGTTGGCATTTTTAATTAAAATCCATATCTTCTTCAACATTTTATCTATTTAAAATATGTATTTACGTTTTGAGGAGCAGTCCCCATTTTCACAATCTTACTTCTTGTCCTATATTTCATTTTAATCTGCAGTCAAATGAGATTTAGTTCATATAGTAAGCCTTTTATGAAAAATATATTAAAGAATGTGGTAAATTGTAAATCAATTGACTTTAAAGATGTATCTGTAATGAAATACAGGACTAGAAATAAGATTTTGAAGATTGAAATTGTTCCCCAAAATATCAATCAATATTTTTACTTTCGCTTACCTGTATATGTAATATATAGTAAAAGAAAGTATTGGGATCCCAAAAATTTTAGAGTCGGAGTTTTAAACGGAAATACACGTTTTGAGGTCTCCCTGAATCCAAATAACCAAGTCCTGCAAAATGGTCTGTGGTAATGTGAACAGTTCAAAAATGAAAAGTCGTATGAAACTGATATTACGTATTTAAGGTTTGTATATGGCTCAGATGTGACAGCAACATTTTCCTTAAATTTGGCTAACCGAAAGTTCCACTTTATATCAACACTGAAACTTTGGTTTATTTTAAATAATTAACTACTTCGCATTGTTGGGAGTTATGAAAAAAGGTTAAATATAACTTTTGAAAGAATTTGATAATTGATTAAAGGAGGTCTCTCTGAAACCAAATAACCAAGTCCCGCAAAATGGTCTGTGGTGATGTGAACAGTTCAAAAATGATAAGTCGTATGAAACTGATATAACGTATTTAAGGTTTGTATATGGCTCAGATGTGACAGCAACATTTTCCTTAAATTTGGCTAACCGAAAGTTCCACTTTATATCAACACTGAAACTTTGGTTTATTTTAAATAATTAACTACTTCGCGTTGTTGGGAGTTATGAAAAAAGGTTAAATATAACTTTTGAAAGAATTTGATAATTGATTAAAGGAGGTCTCTCTGAAACCAAATAACCAAGTCCCGCAAAATGGTCTGTGGTGATGTGAACAGTTCAAAAATGAAAAGTCGTATGAAACTGATATTACGTATTTAAGGTTTGTATATGGCTCAGATGTGACAGCAACATTTTCCTTAAATTTGGCTAACCGAAAGTTCCACTTTATATCAACACTGTAACACATTTTTACAACTTTCTCAAAAACGGGTTTAACGTGTATCATCTTTAATATCATTTAGGTCTTATACCCATTAATGTCACTTTACAGGGCTTTTGGTTTATTTTAAATAATCAACTACTTCTCATTGTTAGGAGTTATGAAAAAAGGTTAAATATAACTTTTGATAATTGATTAAAGGAAAAAAAAAGAAAAATACTTATCCAGGTCGAAAATGTATCTCTGGAAATACTAGTCACAAGGTATATGTGTAATATATTGTTGCTATTTATATTTGGATGTTATATCGGGAAATTTATAAAAGGTGTTTTAAATAAATAATAAAGTTAAAGGTTTATGTGATCTTTTTATAATTGCGATTGGTAAACGTTTTGTAAAATTCAATAACGCGTAATATCTTCTGTTATGCACTACATCTGTGCACCTATTGAGCACAATGCTTATGATGTGACTAATGACACAAGTAAATGGTGATACTGCTCTCAATTTCTAAAGGTTAAGAAGCTGCTAATTATGGTCAAAAATCATAATCAAAAGAGTGAAATAAAGTATTTAAAACAAATTAATTATTTATATACATACTTACTATATCTATTTATAATGTTATGAGAACTGAACAGATAAGAGGTGATTGAACAGGCGGGATTTAAAGGTGAGAAGAGTATTTGAGCGACAGACGTAGGATGGGATACAATTTCATAAGGATGTGGATCGAACAATGAAAGATCTGTCGAAAGCAGCGGTTCGGTGGAATCTTGTATCTGGGAACTGGAACTGGGACGGGAACTGGTTTTGCGGGAGTGGACATAGGATTTGAATTGAAGGAGCTCGGAGATGTATGAAGGATAGCAGGATTGGATAACTTGGAAGAGGAAGGATGGTAGGACATACGTCGGTAGGAAGGATAAAGCTACTTAACTCTTCATAATAACGGGAAACAGAGGTGTCCCTTGGGATTCCAAGGATGAATCATAGATAGTTTTAGTATCGCTTCGAGGTCCCCGGAGACGATATACCCATACACCGTACAGCAATAATCGAAGTGAGGAAATATTAACGAAGTAATCAGGATTTTACGGGTTTCAAATGTAAATAGGTGTTAGAGTTAATTTAGTCGTTTTAAAATGGAAAAAGCATGGCGAGAAATGTCGGATACATGGTTTTCCAGGAAATAGTTTGATCAAAGGTTATTCCAAGGTTCTTAATGGTTGGATAGAATTTGAGGGGATTACCATGTAGGATTTATTATTAATTCATATTACTTTAATTTTTTTTTTTCTGATCCTCCATTTTATTTTTCAACAATTACATACATAAGTATATACAATATAATATACATATATATCCTTGTCAAGGGAATGAGAACTGGTTTAAAAATTGACTATTACTTTGATAGTAAACCAGAGCATGATATAAAGCTTTTTAAATTGCAGTGAGAATAAACAATAAATTATTTTCATGTGAAATGATTAAATATATTTCATAGCTATTTCTCATTTGAAAAAAAAATCCTAATATTTCATCAAATGTATTTTTATTTTTTCTGTGTATTTTTATTAAGTAGTTTAGTTTTTTTTAAAGAGATTTTTTCTGTTTCAGGCGTAGATTTGGTTTATACCACGTAAACTTTTCAGATCCACAACGTCCCAGGAAAAGAAAATTATCTGCTGAATATTGGGAAAGATTTTTACTTCAAAGAGCTTAGCATATGAGATGCTTTGCTTTTGATATCCTCTGATTTATTTTATCTTTACTGACTACTTTTCTTTGACCATTAAGTATTTTTTTCCCCATAAATTAAATTAATAACTAAGAAATGATGGAAATCATTTTCATTAATATTATTATTTTTAAATAAAAATGAATCCAGAAATTTGTTGACTTATTTCTATTTAACTTTTTGCTGAGAATAATTCGCAGAAACATTTCAAAAATGATTTACAGAACGTAGACAGCTAACCTTCCATGTTACCTTGTCAGATAAAGAATTTACTTGAAGAGAAATTTTCTTTGAGAATATGAAAAATTAGCCTTGTACCAATTTTGAGATCATTACTGTCTGTCTGATCATTATTATTGTGAGATTTGGGCAAGTTCTCCATTGAAATATTTTTATTGGAAATGTTTTAGTGATTACTAAGTTCAGTTTCAAATATACCATGAAATAAAAACATCAGTTTAAATTAATTAATAATATATTATTTTCGTGATTACAATTTATATTGTTTTCCTCAAGCATATGGTTACATATTTTGTAAAATAAAATAAAATTGTATTTTTTTATTGAAATGTTAATTTTTTTATCTCCCTCTACTCTAAAGGATCTTTAGTGTTTTACTATAGTTTATATTTTGTTGTAATACTTTTTAAACTTTAAAAATTTAAACACATTAGAGACTTTTTTTTTTAGATCCTCCTCTTCCTTGCCTTTATGGGGTTTCCACGGGCCAGGGGATGTGGACGGAGATTTAAAAAACTCTCCCGGCAGAGGGACGCGAATTCGTGACTATTTTTGATCACTATCTTATATATCAGGTTGCCGAGCAATGGCGGTGCTGTGCGTTATCCCATTCGGCCACCCCACCCAAACAAAAATTACTTGTCTTAAGCTGGGTTTGAACCTGAGACCTGAGGTTTGGAACCCAGTGCTTACTCACTGAGCTATATATGAATAAGGATTCGAACTCAGGTCTTCAGTGTGAGAGTCAGACACCTAACCCTTCAGCCATACCATCTGTTATAAATCAATGCCTGTATAAAAATATAAATAAACAATCAGCGTAATGTCTGACACTAGTGGTTTATAATAAAAAACGTCTACGTCTACGGTTTTGTAAAAAAGTCAGCATAGTTACCTCACAGTTTTCATTGGCTCAACACATTAGGGACTTGGCCCTTCACTATTCTACAAAAATTTTCTCGATACTTTTGTTAGGTATATTTTTTGTCTGTCTTTTTAAAATTGAGGTCCTTAATCCGGTCTCACTGTTTGCGATATATTATTGCATTTTTCACAGGTGGGCGCTTTGAGACCTCTTAGAAAGTAGTCATAAGTAAATTGTCAGCGTCCAATCATAACACGAGTCAGCATAACTTCTCTTCTTGTGCTTCTGGATTTAGGGGACCATTTATCACAATCAGATTTCGCCCCTGTCAATTTACACTCATTGCTTTTCCATTCTTTCTCCCACTTTGATAATAGTGTAGCCTTTATTTGATGTGTTTAGTCATCTAAACCTCTTTCAATCTACTCATCCCTGTTTTTTCTCCACTTCTATCGAAATGGGCTTTATGGTCAACTTTTTTATTTACCAAAATGCCGCAGTGGGTTGGTACCCGGGCGAAGACTAATTGACCTATCCTTATTTTTTATCTCCCACCAAACATTTATTATTTCTCTAATTATAGAATTGCTTGGGTACGGGTTATCGATGGCAGCTAGAACACTCCATGAGTCTGTTACAATGAAATAGCAATTTTTTTTATAATCGCACATAAAATAAAGAACATTCATGATCGGAATCTCCCGTGAATATAGAGTATTCTCCTGGAAGATTAAATAGTTGTTGTTCCCCTTACTCCTTACAGCACATCCTACGCTGTCTTTTTTCATGCAGGTTTATGAAATCAAATCTTTTATTTGTTTCTGCCAATTTTAAAAAAGATTTTTGAATGTCAATAGAATATGCACTTGACATTTTCTCCATGGATCTATTTATCATCCTTTTTTCTAACTACGTACTTTAAATTCTAGGATGGGTCTAATGATGTTCGTATCCATCTTTATTTTAGACAATGTTTTATAAATTTCTTATTTAAATTTGCTATTTTCTAAATATGTAAGTCCACATCTTTTAGATTCTTCTTTGAACAAGTATGGAGTTAAAGGATGGTGGGAAAATACTTTCAATTTAACAATATAAGAGATAAATATTCTTGCCTCAAGTGTATAAAATATTATCAATATTTTAAATTCAGTTACCTCAAACCAGTCTCTCATTTTATCCATCTCTTCTTGTAACTTCCACTGTATGTAGGAAGTAGACTTGCTTAGGGCTGTGATAACTATATCATCTGCAAACAGGAGACACTTGGTCGGAGTCATGATGATGGACATTATATCATTAATAGCTACAAGGAACAGAGTCTTGCTAAGAGGAAATACCTATGGAGTTTTTGTAAGCTATGACTTGAAGAAAAAGTATTACCTGCCCTTACTGAGAATTCTTTATTGATTTCAAAAATTCCTAATGTAAATCCACATATTTCCTCCAATTCTCAGTCCCCAAAAAATCTTCCAACGCCCATCCTCTTGCCATTGTGTTATAAACTTTCTCGAGGTCTAGAAATACTACTTTCAAGTATTTATTGTATTTATCATAAGCTTTATTATAACAGGGTGTTGATGGTTCAACGGTTTGACATTTAACCGAATTGGTGTAAATATACGACCTGCTTACTTTTTATCACATTACTTAATCTTATATTTACCATTCTTTCCTGAATTTTTGAAACAAATGAGACTAATGAAATGAGCCGAAAGTCATAGGGAACGGTATTTTTTTCTGTTGTTCTGGTATAATGATAGATTTTTTTCAGTTATAAGGAAATTTTTTTCTTAAAAAAGATTTGTGTTCTCTGCCTCTAGTAATTTTTTTATGAACTATCCTGGAATTTATGTCTGGAAAAAATTGAAGGTACTTTTGAGAAAGAAATTTTGAAAATCGGCATTTAAGTTCTGTCAGGTTACATCAACGAAAATAAAACCTTTTAAAAGTTTAATCAAAATTATTTTTTATTTTTTTAAAAGTTATTTTAATCAAAAGTTAGAGCCGTTTATGATGAATCGTAAAAATGTGTAAAAAATGGACGATGTAAAGTACCATATCTGGTTTGCCGATTTTGACAAAAATGTTCCTGTCATATCCTAGGTATATAAAAACCTTAAAAACGCAATTTTAGTTTCATAAGACTTTTCGCTTTTGAGCTAGGCTGTTTACATACATATTACACAGACACTCACACGGACCGTTTCGTGGTACTTGGTTATTTGGACTTAGGGGACTTGTCCAATTGAAATGTGTTGTTGATATTGATATGTGTATTTCCGCTGGAAACTTAGATTAGAAAATTTTCACGATTGCGATACTAACCTTTACTATATATTAAATATATAGGTAAGTGAAAATAAAAATTTCAATTTTTGATGTGCGGGGAACACTTCAGCACGAAAACCCTCTCCATAAACCCAGCGGTGGGTCCAATTGTATTGGGTTTCATTCACAATCACTTACATCCCTTGTGGCCAGGTCAATGCTCACTTAACAAGAATAATCACTGCAACAATTGAGTCGTTGAAATTAAATGATGAAGTGTACTCGTTGCCTCATTGAATGTGCAACATAATAATATTGAAATTTGAATTTTCTATTCGCCCCAATTTGCCAGCTGATGGTAATTTTAATTTAAATCCTCTATAATCAGTTCATATTCAAATTTTGTAAAAATATTTAGTTCAAACTAATTTTAATAGACTGATATTCGCCAATTATCTTCTATATAGTTATACTAGTTATATTTAACATATTAAGTTGTAGAAAGTAATAGAGAGTGATGTAAAACTTATAAATAATAATCTCCGAAGATTAATATTATTTAACAGAAACTAAATGCAGTTTCGGCACTAAATGGAAAATCTTCAAATTATTTTTAACCTTGAAAAACACAATAACATAAACTATAATTCAATATTATTTTCTTAATATTACAATATTATATTTAGTTTTTAAAATTAACATTCTATTTTGGTAATTATTAAATCTTGGCAAATCTTTTTGTTTACATAGTATATATTTTCAAGGATTCCAGATAAAAATATGTACATAGATTTGAATTTCACAATCAAATATGTATGTTAAATTACAATTACTAAATTAATTCAATTACCACTGAACCACCAAAAAGACAAACAAAAAAGAAATAAATTTTCGGATCTATTTATTTCAGCTGAAAAACATGTTGTTATAAATAGCTGAATTTTATGATTATAATGGTTATTTTATTTTCATAATTTATTATGTTTAGTTAAAAGTATAGGTAAAACTAAACGTGTTACAAAAATTGTTTTATCACAGAGGGTTTGAATTTATAGCATAAAAACAAATTGAGTGTTCACAAGGCAAAAAACAATTACACAGAAATGTATTTAATAATTTAAAAGCCATTAAATTGAAATAACTAATCTTAAATGCAAAGTACTGAAATGAAAAAAAAAATTCCAGTGCCATTTTAATAGCATCATAAAAAAACTGATTGAATAGATAGACACTTTCAGAAAACGCAAATAATTGCCTGTATTCCAATATTTCAAATTTACCTATTCCAAACAAAATGATAAGATACTGAAGTGCTTTTTATACAGTTAAATATTATTTTATATTTATATTATTCTTTATTTATTTATATAATAGGTCACTTTGAAATCTTAAGATACAGAGAGTTATTTATTTCCTCAAAAGTTTTTCTTTTTGGAATGAGTGTTTTATTTTAATAAAGTTTTTATTAAAATGACTTTAAAGAGGTTAAAGAAGAAAAAACAAATTTTAGGAGATATTAAATTTTTAAAATTTACTTCTTCAAATAATTAAAGTTTGGATATAGGCAACTTGGTTTTGTTTTGTTTTCTTTATAATAATTTTATTCCTGAATGAAATTTTACGCCTTCTAGTATTATCTATCAGACATCTTTAAAATTTTTTATAATTTTTAAACAAAATCGTCCTTTTAATTGTTGATTTTGTGGGTTGAAAGAAGTACACATATCCGCTTTTATTTGGTTTTCTACTTAATACTGGTCTAATTTATTTATAATTAATTGAATATTACAAAATTTTAATATACCTAATAAATAATGAGTAAATTATTAAAGGTAAAAATCATAAATAATTTCTTAATTTATTTAATACTGATTTCTTATCAATTAAAAAAAAGTAATAATAATTTTGAACAAAAAGAATTATTAAATATATTAAGAAAAATATTAATGGACATAAATCATCTGAGGTAAATGTAAATTACAAAAAATGAAATTAGTGAATTACAATGATAAATTAAACCATTGAAAAACAATTTTTTTATAATTAATAATAAGATAATGTTAGTCAGGTTGAAAAGAAAAAAAAAGATTACTTAACTATAAAAATGATTATAAAACATTCAAAAAACGTATAATACAATACTAAATTTAACTAAGCTAATTTTTTTTGTTTTTATAATTTAGTTATTTT